ATGACTGAACAAGCGAAAGAAATTGCTTAACTGTTTTATACAAAAAGAACTTAATAGGAACTTGATTTGAACGTCTCATATCACAGTGCTTTGCTCGTATAGACATGTTTCGGCTATATGGGTTTATTGTTGACAAAATTCAAGGGATGATGATTCTGAAATAAAAGAAAAAGGAGTGTTTTTAATATATGATTGAATTTCGAAACTTCTCCTCAAAAATAAAATAGAAATTACGTTAGTTCAATCTGTAAAATATCTGCCTTGGTTTAGGATCGTTGTAGATGACATTAGATTCTATATATAAAAATAACTAATTTGTATGATCTTTTGGCAACAGATCTTCCAATTGCGAGAAAGGCATCACTCCATCGGTTCTTCGAGAAGAGGAAGGATCGGTGAGTAATTTTTTTCTCTATACATTACCACTATCTAATTGTCTACTTCAGGCTTACACCTTTTAGTTATACAGCATGAATCTCACTTTGCTGACCCTTCGTTTTTTGTTGATTGCAGGATCAATGCCAAGGCTCCATATCAAGTGAATAAAGTGAAAGACTCTTCTGCGACTCCGTTTACCACACCAAAGGAGGAGGAGAACCAGCCATGGCTTGGACTCAAGCCCAGCCTGAGTTCAGAAAGTGGTAGATGAAGCTTTTGTAGGCATGCCTTAAAGCTCACATAGCTCTGTGATTCATTCTTATTTCAGATGCTGACTCTAGTTTGGCTTTCATTTTTGTGCCCCTGAGAGCTTGAGGCCATGGATATATATGTAATTTCCTTCCTATTGGAAACAATATAAATTGCAACCATTTATGGGTAGATATTTTGTGGGTCTTGTTGCTAACGTATGGTAGCTCTTCATGGCTACCATGTAGAGATAAATAGGTGATATATTATGTGTATCTGTTTATCGTTAGAATCATATATTTCTATGTTTATACACTGTACCTTTGTATTTGGCATTTACTGTGAGGAATATATTTGTGATTCCTTGTTAAGAAACATAGCATTCAAGGAGTTAAATGTGCAGTTGTTGAATTATGTTTATCGTGTCAATATTCTCGTCAATAACCCTTTTGTGTAGAAGTTTGATGCCTGACTATGATTATAATTTTCGCTTAAATCATACATAGAAAACCACTAGCAATATTCACCCCTTGCCCTTGCCTTGTTATCTCTTTCTGCTCTTTTAGCAGTTGTCATATTATCAAATGGAAAACGAACCTGAGCTATGTAAAAGGTTTACTGATGTATGCTTAGGTGGGGGAAGAAAAAAGAAAAAAGAAAAAAATCCACTGATATCATGGTACCCTACTTTAATTCTTTAGGTGGTCATGTTACTTGTAAGATTGTGGAAGCCTTTGATTTTTATTTTATTTTATTTTTATTTTTTTCCCAGACGAGACAAGAAAAAAGGGAGGAAGAGTGTTGCAATGTTCTTCCGCCTACTTCCAATTTTGAAAGCTCAAAAGCAGGTCAATGTTTTTAACATCAAATTTTAGTGGGGATCTAAAACAAAGTTGATGACAGAGGACCTTGCTTCCACCTCTAAAAGCTTTATAAAGCACTAATGGGTCTGAAAAAATAAATTATTTCCCCCTCGTCCTTGTTAAGACTGTTCAAGTTATCTTGCATAGGATACCTTTTGTTTTCGAAAGGAAGTGTGGAAATTACTAGGGGGACAAAATACCAACTTCCTAAAATACAACAAGTGGTGGACCGAAATAAATAGACTAGAATTTATATATTATTTAATTTACACAAGTGCTGTCTTTTGAACTTAATATAAATATATTGTTTAATTTCTTGGAGTTTCACAGGCTTCTTATGCTAGGTGGTTCGAGATAAAAAATTTAGCGCTAAATTTCTGTTCCTGTCGATCTCTCATACATTCTTAAATTTAGTTCCTCTAACCATTAGACTAAAACTCCGAGGTTATGATGAGAATCAAGAGTATAGTTTTATATTAATTCTAATATAGTAAATAAGAATCGATAAAAAATACAAAAGGTATACATTCATGTCCCCCACACACATCTGCTTGAAATCACCAAGAGAAAATATTATCTTCTTCTTAGTATTTCATACAAGTTAATACGAGAGGATAGTGAAATGAAAAAAAAGGAAACTCCAAAACCTCATTTTTTGAGGTAAGCGGCATTTGTCTAGTTTGTTTTATCATCATCATGTCTCCCCTCTTTGTTTAAAGTTCTGGCCTCAGATCGTGTATATAAAATCTAGAGGCTTTATGTCAAAGTTGGAAGGGAATATATATAATACGTCCCTTCACGTACCCAATACAAATTGGATTTGACGACATTAGGTTGATTGGCATTGTAACCTCTTTTATTGTTTCCCACTAATTCATTTGATTCCTCGACCACGTTATTATGATTTTCTTCTCAAAATGACCTATTGTCGCTCAAATTGAACATTAGCTCTCCAATCTTAGGGGGTGTTTGGTTCAATTTTTAAAAATTATAGGAAATGTTTTCCACATAAAATATAATTTCTTTGTATTTCTTAAAAAATTATAGGAAAAGTTTTGAGAAATTAAAAAGTATCAATTTTCTTGTTTTTTGTACTTTGCTTGTTTGGTTCAAAACAAAAAAATAGCTCATAACTTTATAGAAAATAATAAGATTTGGTAGGTTTTTAATTAAATATGGTATGTGACGGATTTCTAGTGATTTCCTCTCATTTTGAGAGGAAATTATTTTTTGTAAAATTTGGTAGGTTTTGATATTTTATAGAAAATATTTCTGTAAATTTTTTGTTGAACCAAACACAATTTACAAAAATTTTTGAAAAATTTTTAATTACAAATTTGCCATTGTAAGATGTTTTGAGAAAAGTTTTCTCAAAAAGTGTGCAACCAAACAACCCCTAGTTTTTCAGATGCTCTTGGAAAAACGACATCTAGAAAAAGCGTGATTGTGGAAGTTTTTGAGATTGTATTGGGTTGTTTGTTAATATTTCTACGCATAATTATTGAATCAGGGCTTACTGGCGTATTTCTAAATAAATATATATATCTGTAGGCTGTCTAAAAATCACAATAGATAGTTGATCCCCCATCAAACACCGATGATGAAAGTTACAATCTGACGACTTCCAGAAGGCTACAATTTGAGGACTTTCACGTAGAAGGCTACAATCTGACGACCTTCACGACAACTGATGAAAGCTCTAATTCAACAGCATTCATAATCAACATCGGGAGTTACAATCTGACGACTCTCATATTCTCAAGGAGCCAAGAGGACGATCTGTGCAAAGTTCTAGCAAAAGAGACTACAAATTGACGGTCTCTTCATATTAGAACGCAGATATCTCTCAAACCGTAAGGAATTTGGCAAAACGGAGGAAACAAACCGAAGCCTTCGGCTAGGTTCGGATGGCTCCGTCTCGTCGAGATAGCCGATTTTTATATATAATTCGTCCAATTCCGACTTGCGGTTTGAAAGTTATGACCTGTTCTTCGCAGCAAGTTATGTTCTGAAGTCCGTCTGCAAGACTGGACTTCGTCAGAACATTGGACTTAGCCTGAAGCTCGCCAAGCCCGCCTAAGGTTCGCCTCTGCATTACAGAGTCAAAGCGTACAGGTTGAACCAGCGTTATAACCTCAAAACGCAGAGGTTATCCTCGTGATATAACATCAAAACGCAGAGTTTTCAGGCCAACTGTGCGTTTTCAGGCTCAACTGTGCGTTTTCAGGCTGAAACAGGCCAACTGTGCGTTTACAGGCTCAACTGTGCGTTTTCAGCCTGAAACAGGGCAACTGTGCGTTTACAGGCTCAACTGTGCGTTTTCAGCCTGAAACAGGCCAACTGTGCGTTTACAGGCCAACTGCACGTTTTCAGCCTAAAACGTCCCAACTGTGCGTTTACAGGCTCAACTGTGTGTTTTCAGCCAAAACGTCCCAACTGTGCGTTTACAGGCTCAACTGTGCGTTTTCAGCCTAAAACGTCCCAACTGTGCGTTTACAGGCTCAACTGTGCGTTTACAGGCCAACTGTGCGTTTTCAGCCTGAAACAGGCCAACTGTGCGTTTTCAGGCCCAACTCTGCGTTTCAGGTCCAGAAACGCACAGTTCGGGCCCAGAACGCTGTTTTCAGCGTTTTGACTCGTTCAAAGCACTAACAGAACGGTTTCAAAACCGTTTTCCCCACGATTTGGGGAGCTGTTTAAGAGGGGGCGGTTACACCCCACTCAGCCCATTGAGGAGCAGATTAAGGGGGTAGTTACCACCCTTAAATCCCCTATAAATAGTGGGAAACTCAACTGAGTTCGGGTCTCTGGGATCCTTCCTTTTTGGGCAGCAAAAAGAAGAGATATTCGGCTGGCTGGAGCTGGCTCTTTGGGGATCCTTGATCGGGCATCTTGGAGATTTTTGCAGCAACAAAGTCCTTGGAGCATTCATCCTTGGCTTAAGAACCGAATCTCGGTTCAAATCAACTCTTTTTCAAGAGTTTCAAACTCGATCAGAGTTATCAACTCGTCCAGAGTTTCAAACTTGCTTTGCAAGTTCTCCACAGCGTCAAATCGTGAGGAGAAGACTACGTTCCAGTGAATCCGACGCGAGCATTCGAGGGAGGCACCCCATCGCCACCGTGAAGAACCTAGAATTAAACAAAGGGGAGAATCAAATTCATTCTCCTCTCTTTTGTAATCGGAATCCAAATTGTAATCGATTTTGAGAGGAATACAAGTCAAATTTTCTTTCATTGTCTTTTTACTGCAAATTTTCCCACAAACAATATCTTAGAAAATAAATATCGAAGGTCTGTTGGAGTTATAATAAAGATAACTTAAAACTTGAGTTTATAGAGGAAAAGAGGAAAAACTTTAGTCCCACATTGGAAAAGAGATGGGAAGGTAGGCTCTTTATAAGCCTTCCCTTTCTCTCCTATGCCTAGAAGAAAACAAAGGTTATGCTCCACACCACACACGCGCGCGCCGGCCGGGCCGGGCTCGGGTTCGGGTCGGGTCGGGTCGGGTGGCGCGCGCACACGACCTGCGGACACGAATGCAGCTCCGGATTGAGGGGCCTTTAATCTGCTACATTTTAATTTTCTCTTTTGAACTTTTCTTTTTGTATTAAAAACGTGATTAATATTTTCAAAATTTGTTAAACGGCTAGCATAATTATAGGCGGAAATTAAGGATCTAAACGGTTAGTATTAAAGCGTGTTTATCATGAAACAAATTAAAAACGTTGTTAATAAAAACGTTTTAAATGAGAGAGAGAGAGATTGACGGATCTAAATGATAGGAAAACCGCTGGTATTAACTGGCGAAGTTTATGTGAATAATTAAAACGTGCTAACGGGAATTATGGGCGCAAATGACTCATTGAAATCCTATATAAGAACCTCGCCCCGAGAGGTTAAGCACAGTGTGAAAAACACAACGTATTCTCTCTTCTTCTCTGTTCTTCCTCTTCATTTTACTGTTGTTACACTTTTGCTGGTTCCCTGAAAGTCTAGAAGAGTTCGCAAAGCCTTCTTGAAGCTCGTGCCGACGAGAAGGAGGTCGCCTGACCGAGGGTCGTTGTATCTCCGGGAACTTTTGCCGCGTAGCCCTGTACGAGAGGGGGCAATTAGTTTCTTGGGACAGTGCTTGCACGCCTCGACCATCAGGCCGTATTTCTAACCCTCATTTCTTTTCGTTTATCTGTGATGCAATATTAATTCATTAAGTGATCTGAAAATTGGCTACAAGTGAAATTATGTCTGCTAAACCAGAGAAGTTTGATGGGAACAATTTCCGTCGTTGGCAAAACCAAATGAGATTTTGGTTAACAACTCTACATCTAATAACAGCCATAGAACCAGATACCCATCTTCATCTAGACCAGTTACTAGGCAATCTTCCTCATCTTCCTCCACAGATTCAATTCCTATCCCAAGAACACCTCAAGAAATAGAGTATCATTGCCTACACAGAATCTTAGGAGTTTTATCTGATAGGTTATATGATATATATTATACTATCACTAATGCTAAAGTTCTGTGGGAAACCTTAGAGCAAAGTTAATGGTCTAGATGAATATGGGAAATTTAAAGAATTTAAAGCTTCTGATTTTAACAAGTTTTAAAATGGTAGATTCCTAAACCAAATGAATGAGGCAAGAATTCATGATTTGAACATATAGTTCACCAATTTAAAAGTGAATGGGATCTATCTTAGATGAAAAGTTTCAGATAGCCTTGCCTTATAGACAAACTTCCCGAGTCACTGGTCAGATTTTGCCAAAAACCTAACGCATACCACGGAGAGGCTTACCACTAGAGCAAGTGTTGTTCCATTGAAATATGAGACAACATGACTCAGGGAGAAGATGTGACACAAATTCTGAACCAGCAAAGAAGCCAAAGTAAACAATGTTTAATCCAAACCCTTTCCTCAACACAAGAGAACGTCCTTCCACAAAAATCAAAAATAAAACATTTAAGAAGAAATCTTTTATTCATCAAAATAAGAACCCTGTCCACTTTCAAAACGAAGGAAGGAGCTGAACGTAGAGCCTGTTTCGTTTGTGCGAACCAACCACCTTGCTAAGGACTGCTTTTTACAAAAGACAGAACCACCCAAGCCTAGGAAAGGGAGGCACCTCCACTAATAATCACAAGTGAATCATGGTGACTTTCCAGTCAGCGAGACTGCTTTCAGGTCTGTTCTCTTCACTCCTGAAGTAAACATGACCTTAGTCAAGCAAATGATTTGGTGGATTGACACTGGAGCTAATATTCACGCTTTGCTCTAATCAATGTTTGTTTTCCAACCTAGTCAGTCTCACAGTAGAGGAACCTGTGAACAATGGGAAATATAATGTGGCTTCCTTGTATCTGGAATAGGTCGGATCAACTAAAGCTGAACTCTGATAAGACTTGATGCCTCGCAAGATGTCATCATGTACCAGACATTAGGGAAACTTAAATTAGCGGATTTTTGTTAGTGCAACAAGGCTAATAGCTATGTTTTTGAAATCAAATAAATTGTAATACTAAGGATTGAACTTCATTGGAAAAGGTTTTTTTATGTGTGGTCTTTTTAAAATTGAAGTGTTAAGGAATTCTACTATTCATCTCCAATAGTTTGAATATTGAACCTTCCATCAGCTTGGCATCAACAGATTAGGAATTGTGAATTATAATTCAATTGAAAAGATTGATGCATCTAATATTATTCCAAAAGCTTAATATAAAAGATGATGAAGGAACATGTGAAAGCATAATGTGTAGTAAGCTCAGCAACTCCCCACTAAGCGAACAACCATGGTTAAAACTATTGATAGAGATTCTGAGATATTAGAACTCATCCATCAGTGGATGGTTTGTGATCAGGAAGAACAACTAGAGGAGTAACAAAATATTTTGTAACTTCTTTATAGATGAATTGTCTATTGTTACCATCTACTAATTAAGACCGAGATGAAGTGATAAACCAAATTTAAAATATTAAGCAGAAGTTTGAAAATAATTGGATAAGAAACTTAAAATTTCTCAAAGATCAGCATAGAGGTGGTGAGTACACTTCTAATGAACTAAAACAATTTTGTGAAGAGAATGAATTATTCATGAAATAACTGCTCCATATACAACCATCAAAAAATCTAATGGAGTAGCTGAGAGAAAGAATAGAACACTAATGACATGGTAAACTCAATGTTAATTATTCGTGGTGTGCCAGAAACCTGTGGGAGAAGCTCTCATGCTGCAATGTCATATACTAAATAGAAGATTCCATTCAAGAATTGATAAAACCCTTACACAATCTGGAAGAATAGAAAACCCCCCTAATTTGGATCACTGAAAAGTGTGGGGGTGCTTATCAAAGTTAAATACCTGAAAATAAGAAAGATGGCCTAAAACTGTAGATAGGAATTTTTATGCTATGCTTCTGATAGTAATGCAAATAGATTTTATAATCTATACTCTGCATTAATGAGATAGCCAAAACACCAATAATTGAAGCTAGGGCATGCACATTTACTTTGAAAATAATTTTCCCTTACAAGACGCAGAGGTAAACAACAAGGCCTAAGCTCTATAATTCAGATCCTAATTCTAATCAAGTGAAACTAGTTCTAAACAACTAGACACTAGAAAGTCCAGAGGGCCTAGGAAAAGTAAAAGAACTAGCAATAGAAAAGGTCCATGAAGATTTCTATGCATTACTGTAGAAGATTCTCCAGTTACAATTGAAAGATGCAATGAAAATCAGTAGATGCTACCATTTTTGGAAGAGCTATTAATATGAGATTCACAATCTAATAGTTCAAAATCATACTTCGGAACTAACTGATCTCTCCTTCAGGCTGTAAAACTATAGGATGTAAATGGGTGTTTAAGAAGAAACTTAGACCTGATGGAACGATAATATAACGGCCAGATAGTAGCTGAAAGATATACCCAAAAGTCTGGTATTGATTATTTGATGTCTATTCTCCAGTAGCTAGGTTACTAACCATTAGAGTCCTTATAGGCTCTAAGCAATCTATTCACAAATTGAATAATACAGTCAAATGGATGTTAAAAACTGCATTTTTAAATGGAAGATTAGATGAAGAAATATATACTGGATCAACCTGAGGGAATTTAAGCTTCTGACAAGAAAAGAAAGTATGCAAACTTAATTAGATCACATATATGGCCTCAAACAAACAATGCTCCAAAACAATGCACATGAAATTTGATGAGATTATACTATCTTATGGATTGAAATTAATCAAACAGTTGAGTGTGTATGTAGGCGTAATAAACTGCCTTATAGGTCGCTTGACCAGCTCCGGCGCGATGAATTCCGACAAATCGACGAACGTTCAAGCAAGCGAAACGAACTAAAGAGCTACAAAGGCTAACGAAACATGCATGCGAACAACGTTAGTGGTTCGGGGAGTCGACGGGTCTCCAACAAAATGGATTTGAAAACTCAAGACACGACTGAGTTTACTGCCAAATCCGGCAATCAAGTCAACAAATCAACAAACAAACGAAAACCGAGCAAAACAACGTCGGAAACAATGGAAAACGCAAACAGGCACCTGGGGGAACTCGCGAACTTACCACCCAAGGTTGGCTCGGCCAACCGAGCCACCCTAGGGGCTCCGGTGGCCGAGTCACCCCCGGGTGGCGTCGGCCAGGCGAGCCACCCTGAGGTCGGCTCGGCCAAGGCCGAGCCTACCCCTGGTGGCTCGCTATGGCGAGCCACTAGGGGTGGCTAGCTCAGACTGTGCAAACGCACAGTTTGAGAGCCTATAAATAGGCCTGGTACTCGTTCATTTGGAGGACTTCTTTGAAACTTTGGAGAGAAGCGAAAACTCTGCCGGACTTGTCACCTCAACTCGGAGATGCTGAAGCTTGAAGACTTACGAGACCCGGAATTTTGATTCTTAGCGAGCACAGCATCACGAAAAGGCAGGAGTTCGACGAGAGGTTAATCCCTCAAGATCTACGTCGTTACACTCCGGATCTAAGCTTGGGCTCTTAGATCCAGAAATTCGAGCGGTCGTTTTCCGTGGTGAACACGATCTCCGGCTATTATCTCCTTGGTGGGATAATACCGTAATACGTCCGTAGATCTGTTGGATCCAGATCACGCGGGATGGTCCACGGTAAAGCACCCGGCGCAAGCACAACCAACCCAAAGAAGCAGAGACCGCAAACAGGATCTTGTGATTTGTTTCGACATAAAGAGAGAAAGTTGTAATTTTTGGGGATTTTCTTTGTTTATTTGATTTTCATTGTAAGCCGGAAATCTTAAATTAAAAAGACGGATCTCTTTGTATACGCACTAAAGTGTTAACTGAGCTGCAATGGAATCGATAATGAAACAACGAACACCAAACTTTCCCCGCGAACAATCGGCGACCACGTGGGAGCCCACCGATCTCACTGTTTGAGATCGGAAGCTGTCGCACCGGCCGGAATCTCGATCGCCGTCACTGGGAGGCGAGGTCGAGTATGAGTTCGACGCAAACAGAAAAGTACGAAGGAGTACGTGTCCTAAGTCTGGATCCTACCTCCTCCCCAAGTCCAAGAAGTTTCGCAGAAGTTCTCCGTCCAGGAGAAAAGTCCGTTGGTGCGAAGCAAAGTTGAAGCCACCAACAGTGACGAACCTCACCCCATTCGACGCCGAAGTTGCGTCAGGTGAAGTCTACCGCTCGAAGATTCTCTCACACTCGTTTATATCGGTGTAAAAAACTGTCTTGTGGAAGCAGTATTTGCAGCTAATCAATGCTCTGTTAGGTTCCATAACTGAGGCCTATCAAGACCAGAAACAAGCAACAATGGTTATTTGTAGAGCTGGGCCAGAACTAACTGAGCCTGGCCTATAGTTGAAAGTAAATTTTTTTTAGAATGGTTCATTGATAAATAGTTTGAAAAAATGCCCACTACATGCTTGTTTATTGTTAAGCTTTATGGTTTAATCCCAATCTAAGAATAGGTAAGCATGTCTGTTAATTAATTTTCCCTTACACTAGCTGATTGTGGTTGGATCTTCATCAGATACTGTGGCATCCACATGTTGCTTATGTATGGTAGAGCCCCTTTTTAAGGGGCTAAAGTGCAGGCCACCCTCAATCGCTTCCTTAGTTTAATTGGCAACTGATTGGTATGTGCAGGCCACCCTCAATCGCTTCCTTAGTTTAATTGGCAACTGATTGGTATTCATTTTCTTTATTTTGTAGAATAAGTGATCCATCAAATGAAATATTGTTAATTGGCAACTGATTGGTATTCATTTTCTTTATTTTGTAGAATAAGTGATCCATCAAATGAAATATTGGCAGAAAGACAGCCTTCCTTATTGTTAAAAATTTTCCTTCTTGTTTTTCCATTAAAATTTCTTACTTGATATCTGTTGATGCAGCTTTTACTATGCTTCTTATATCTCCTTAAGATACTAAGTCGAGGCCCCAGCAAGTGAATTGGTACGTTCTGCAAATGGGACAAACAAATTATCTCTGTCATTCCCTTAGTTATTATTTTATTAAGAAGTTTTCCTGCAGTTATTTATGAGAATAGCATTTATGAGAATAGCAAGCGTAGGAAGTAGTGTAAATAATAACATTTATTTACCTGCGGGTCCATGCTTTACCTGAAGTCCCTGATGTAGAGAATTATACATGTTTTCCATCCAAATGCATTCTCTGTTCCTTTGTTGAATTCTTTTTGCGCTCTCCGTCAACATTTTTTGTGCTCTAACTAGAATATTGTGACAGGGTTTAACTAACCTCCCATCCACCCAAAAGGAAAAAAAGAACGTTAGTTGTCTGTTAATAGAGATCCATTGCGGTTTATTATTAGTTTATTAAGTGTTTCATGATGTTCTGAAACTCTCTAGTTCTCATATAACTATTTGTCCATTAAAGGAAGAGATATGATACAGTTCAGTTATTTTTGGGTTCTTTCTTCATAGCGGGTGCCTTTTAGGTCTTAAATTTCTGTTAAAAAATTCTGAGCAACCAAGGGACATGCACTAAGGGGAAAGAGACTGACGTACTACTTGTTCTCAACACTAGGACAAATTGTTGCGAAAATTTAGGGAAGTGTTTTGCTCTAAAGAACCGCAGTTCGAATATATCTATCTGAATTAGATGCTGTTTTTTAATCATTAACCCTTCACCAAATTGTTGGACTCCTGAGGAACTAAGGCTATGTTGACACTGTACACCCCTCTGCAATCCACGTCCGTGAGCCTTAACTTGCCGCAAAGCCATAATCGTTCATCAGAAGATCATGATCTCTGCTAAAAGTTTTAAGTTCTATTAGAGTTTCGTCGGCATTAATAACATAACATCTTGGGACAGTTAGTCGGTTTTACTTTGTGGATGCCTAATTTCTTCTGACTTTTCTTGCTCCTGCAAGGAAACAAACAGGCCCCAAATTTTTCTTGCCCTTGTAAGGAACCAAACAGCTCCTCAACCAAGAAGGGCTGAACTCTTGGCGGATGGTGGCTTTGCAAAGTTTGGAAAAGGGAAGTCTCGAGTTTTGAGGATTGAAACTAGAACAACCTGTTTTATTTCAGTGTCACAAAGAGTAATAATTGTCCAGGGTTAAATGAAATAAATGTTAAAAGAAGCTTGAAACAATGATCATCAGTAATCTGTGCTAAAGAAATTTCTTTTATTTGGATTTCATGAACTAGTTCATATCGGTTATTCAGGATCCAACATCATTGATAACTTAGAATGACTTATAACCCTATCAAATAACCCTGAACATCTTCTCAGCTCAGTACATGTTACAATAACAAGAAATTTGAAAGCCAAATATGATTAGGAACTTAAGAGGAAATAGGAAAATACGAGAAAAGGCAGATTCTGGACTAAATTGTGCTTACTGTCAAGGATCTAGTGAATCCAGTGGATGGCGAATCCAAATAATGAGAATATAGCTGCTCTGTGGTTGATCCATGAGTTAGTGATGTGATCCAAGCCAAAAGACACTATAACCAATCTATTAACCAATTTATTGAAAGAGGAATACGTCGCACCTCTTCAAAGAATTTCCAGCACTATTAAAGGCCAAAATGGGCGCTATTTTGGAGGGGTGCTACAGTGTTGCGCCAAGAATGGCGCAACACTGTAGCAATAGCGCTATTTTTTCCCTTTTGTTTTTTATAGTTGTATTAATAATATATATTATTTTGTATTAACTATTATAATAAAATTAGAGTATAAAATAATTATTAAAATAACATTAAACAATAAAAAAATAGATAATTTAATCCAAACACTTAAAATTTCATAATACTAGAATCAAATGAAGAAATAAGAAAAACTACACCATTTAGATAAAAAAATACAACATAAAAATTAGGACACAAAAAAATTACACTAATTGCAATAAATTAGGAAATAAGAAAAACTACACCATTTTTTTTATTTTTATTTTTTTGCTTGCAAGTGTGATGTTTTCTTTTGTGATGTTAAATGTAATCTTTAGTTGAATTTATGAAAGTAATATTTTAATTTGATTTAGCATTTATTTTTAAGATTTTTATTTTATTCATAAAATATATTATTATAATTAATTATATGTAATGTAGTATATAATTATATAATTTGTTAAATTTTTAAATAGATAAAAATGTTAAAAGATAAGAATAATAAAAGGAATATTCTTTTTGGTGTAACATTTGGTGTAATGGGTTGGAGATGGAATAGTGATTTGGTGTAAAAACTACACCAACTTAGTGTAAAAACTACACCATTTTGGATTTTATGGTTGGAGATGCTCTAAATTCTTCGTAAGATAATTTCAAACTTGACTAAAATCATGATGTTGAATATCTGCATTTGTCGTACTATTTCAAAACCTCATGACATATCTACTCTTTGTCATTTCCTTTTTAACGGTATCACTCTATTAAACCAGGTAACTGATGGGCATGGAATCAAGAGAAAACAAGATAAGAGAAGACTGAGTCACGTCAATGTCTTCAAGGCTTCCTTCGAGGGGCTGTTTGTTTGGGCTAAAAAGTGGAGAAAATGGGTTTTGGAAAACTGACAGCCCATTTCTTATATTTTCCTTCACCTTCTGACGTTTGGTTCACAAAAACGAAAGAAGGAAAGAGGGAGAAAACTGGCGTTTAAAGGAAAATTTGGGGCCGATCTGTTTTCCGCCCTCAAGTCCCCGATTTTGCAGAAAACTCGCGGAAAGTGAAGAGGAGGGAAAGTTTAGGGTTCCTGCCTCCTCAATCCCGTCACCGCTCCCTCTCTCTCTCCCGCCTCCCTCATTCCCTTGCCCCTCCCGCTTCGCATAGACGAACAAAGCCGACGAAGCCGACGAACATGTAAATGCTCTAATTTTCTTCACAATTTTGGCCCATTCTCGTATATAATCATAGATTCATGGATCTCTATGCCCTAATTTACTTTCTATGGAATTATTGATGGGTTTTTTTATGGATTTATATGTGCGATTTTTGTGAAATTTTAAGACTTTTCTTCAAATTTATGGGAAATTTCTTATGGGTTTCGCATGTAGCAACATCACAAAGAGATTCAAGTTCAATTTTAACGTTTCCTTTTCTTATGGGTTTCGCATGATGGATCTCTCTGTAACTCAGCTTGAAGTCTAAGCTTATGAAGTCTAAGCTAGTTGTTAACGTTTCCTATTTTACGGGTTGAAGTCTAAGCTTGAAGTCTCAGCATCACAAAGAGATCCAAGTTCAATTTTAACGTTTCCTATTTATGGGTTTCTTTAATTTTCACATTTTGAGAGCTTATGAAGTCTAAGCTAAACTTGCCTCAGGATATATGTATATGTTATGTATATAATTTGTTAGTAATTCAGCTTTTGTTGTATCAACATAGAACTGAAAATAAGGTGCAACTACAAAGCAGTTAGAATAAATGTCTTAGTAGTCGACTACACTGAGTCTATTCAGACTCTGTGAAGTCAAGAAACAAGCTCAGTAGTCGACTACTATGCTTATTAGTCGACTACACTGTACATATGTAGTTTTTGGATATTTGACTGAGAATTTTATAGTCGACTACTAAAGGGATTATTCGACTACACAGTAAATAATTTGTTATCATTAAAATTATATCTTGGGGTCAAGATATCCAACACTAATTGCAACCTGACATGTTCAACTCTTCATTGATATCATTTGCCTTTAATGTTAGTATCTACTTTAATATGACGCTTGTATTTTAGATGGATGGTGATTTTGACGAAGAGACTGTAGTTAATATATGTTCGAGTGCTGCACTATCTGTTTTAGTTATGGTTATGACATTCATGAGGAGAATACAAAGTAGACGTAGATCTATACGTGTAGGTCCTAGTGAGGAAAAAATAATACAATAGAAAAATAAAAAACAACACATGGACCGGATATATAATGGATTTAGTGATAGTTGTGTGAACTATGTTATATTGCGTAGTGGTGCTTTTATGAAGCTTGCAAAGATCATGAGGAGGAATGATTTATTGCGAGACTCAAGACATGTCACAGTGGAGGAGCAACTTGCTATGACTTTGAATATATTAGGGCATAAAACTAAAAATCGAAGTATTATGTCACATTTTATTCGATCTGGCGAGACTGTGAGTAAGTATTTCAACAAATTGTTAGAAGGAATTTGCCACATGACCACGTTTGTTGAGACAAGACGGAATGAAGTTTCACAGGAGATCCTTAGCAACCCTCTATACTATCTTTATTTCAAGGTATTCTCTCCTTAATTTGTGATTAAAAGCACGTTTATTTAATTTAATAAAAAATAATCAATAGTAATTTTTTATTCTCTAGGATTGTATTGGTATGATAGATGGGACACATGTTGAAGCTATGCTACCTGCTAGTCTTCAACCACGATTCGGTAGTCGAAAAGGTGTTACACAAAATGTTTTAGCGGCTTGTACTCCAAACAAGTTGTTCACTTACATATTAGCAGGATGAGAAGGTTCTGCAAATGACTATAGAGTCCTTCAAGATGCATTGACTAGGCCCTAGCCTCATGGTTTGAAAGTATATGATGGTAATTTCATCAAATCTTCAATTTTAAGTAATTACTTCAATTAATAAATGATATTCAATAAAATTTTAACAAATTCTAATAAACACTATCACGTCATGCAAATTGTAGGGAAGTATTACTTGTGTGATGCGGGATACACGACCATGCCGGGTTTCATTTCCCCGTATCGTGATGTTCGTTACCATTTGAAGGAACAAATAGGAAGAACACCTAAAAATAGAAGAGAATTATTCAATCTTAGACATTCTTCTTTAAGGTCTAAGATTAAAGCTACATTTGGTTGTTTGAAGAATCATTTCAAAATTTTCACCGCAACGCCTCATTACCCTTTTCGCGCGCAAGTGAATATCGTATTAGCTTGCACAGTTCTTCACAATTATATTGCAATGGTTGACCCGGATGATGATATATTCAATGAGACCGTTGACATCGAAGATGATGAAAGAGATGTTGCTAATGAAGATGATAATAATATTATTGATTTTTCTCAACCCCAAACTCAAAGGGAGCAAACACAATCAAGAAACGTATGGAAGGATCGTAGAGATCAAATAGCTTGGAAAATGTGGGTTGATTATTGCGAAAAACATAAGGGAGGGAATACTAATGAAATAGGCATGTGACGCAATGTGATAGTGATGTTGTCTTATGTTATGAATTATTCTATTTTCATGTACTTCATTTTATGATGGCGTGTGTAAAACTATGTAATGTTAATTTAGAAACATTTGTATGCTACTATTATGTGCTGTATGGAATTTTCTCTTAGGACACACTTTCTTTACTCAACTTACGTTTATTTTTTGTATTTCTCTATAACTATTTTCTAGGTATGACCGACAACCTCAATTGTGAGGAACTTGATAAGGTCAAAGGTAAGAGTACGGCATCAAATTCATCGCCTAGAACCCTAAAGAATTCATCAATCCCTTGTGGGTTCAACCCGGGATTTATGCCTTATCAACTAACTGATGTTATATAGGGATGAGAGAGCTGCCACCTTCCAAATTTCAGTTCAAACAAGAAGACTGAAGTACCCATTCATGGAGAGGATGGATCGCGAATCAAAAAGCATACTTTGGCAGTCATACTGACAGTAAGATTCTAGTACAAAAAACTTATAGATGCGTTAACAGATGACTTCCTACATCTATTTCCTCTTCACTTACACATAAATTGAACGGATAAATAGTACCAGATGCCTCTTTCTGATTGATGAGAAACGTAGCTGAAAAAGTGCACAATCCAACGAAACAGTAGCACTAGAAGAATGCTGAACCAGTGCATCAATCTTCAACAGGTTTTGATGTTATGCAGGGGCATTTTTTATCAGCAAAGTTGATATGGCAAGCTCCGCCTTCCAACCCCTTGCTCAGGCAATCGGTGTTGCAGTTTTGATCGCTGCATGTTGAACCCTCCATTGTCATCATCCCATCGTCCACAAAAGACAAGTGTATTTAAGTGATCTATAAGCGTTAAGGTAGTAAGAGAGTTAGTTTAAATAACTTTTGGATACGAGGAAAAGATCGAAGAGCAGCAGGTAATTAGTCAAGGTGTTTCCACAACCTGCAAGAAACTCTCGGAATGCTGAACAAGCGAATTAGTTCAACCGCAAGTAAAAAGTATAGACACGTGCAATAAACTCAATCTCTGCATACTAACAGTGCTTTAGATCGATATGCAGGATACAACAAATTAGAAATATCATACACTTAAAATGCTATATACCGACATTTAAACTATCTTTGAGTTGATGCCTTGGGTAATGTATGGAAGCATTTTCAAACTAGGTTTATGGAAGAGTTCTCCAAGATAGTGGTGTGAACAAATTGTCATGCATGATCTCTTGTTTCTTTAAGAAATACGAGCATGAGTAATCAAAGTGCAATGTCTCAAGAATCAGTTGCTTTCACCAAAGGGTTTGTATGAATTTTTTTGGATAGACAGGTAGATAGTCTGAAACTAAACATGTTAAAGCTAAACTGTCACATGCCAGGAAAAAAATGCAAGCAAAAAGATTGAATACACAGACCCAATAAGATGACTCCACCAGTGCTACATGAAATTTATTCCAATTCTTCTTTGATCTAAAACTTTCATTTTAAACCTTCAACTAGTTTCTCAAAGTTCCAATCATCTACGCAGGCTTATATGAAAAGAAATAACAAGTGACGTAAATAAAGTAATTAGTGAATTGATTTTTCTAGAGTTTAATGGCCATAAAATCAGAGGTCAGGCTTTGAGACTTTCAGGAAATGGTGCGCCCCATGCTGGCCCTTACACCATTAAATCCTGGGAACTTGTAGTTGATTCATACCAACTACGCAGCTCTTCTATATGCATCAAGTTTATTTACATTTTGTCAAAAGAAACAATTGTCTATGATGTCAAAGCGAAAAGTCATTTTCTGATATATAATATACCAAATTAGAAAATACTTAATGTAAATAGTCCGTGCATCACATTCACTATAAGAATTGATAAAACATAGCTATACAGTATTAGTCAAGACATCATCTCTTCTACAAATCATTAAGAGAATAAAAGTAGCTACAGTCAAGACATCAATCATCAAGAGAATAAAAGTAGCTACAGAAAATCCTCCTCCTCGCAAATGCCTAGTCAAGACATAATCTCAAAGGAAAAGGCTAAGCCAGACATTTGTATTACCCAACTTATTCCAGGAACATACAACATCCTTTGGATGATCCAAATAACACTGGTAAAAGAGTTTACTAAGAAATAAACACCAAGAAAGAGAGCACTTTTAGGGTTTAACATAATCTGCATTCTAAGACGACAATTTGAGAGTCAACAATCAACATGTTGCTATGTACCCTAGAGAGATGAACATAGAACTGCTTTCTAACATAATTTCACAATCGTTTTGAAATTCATTTGAGATGGCATTTGCCTATAATTTAACTATCAGCAAATGAGTAGATGAGATCACTAGTCATTGATGAATCCGCAGCTTGTTTTTGACATATATATTTCTCAACATTTTGAAACCTCAGCTTCAGCCCCGAACACCTGCAAGTCATAAGAATCTTTATGTTGATAAACACTATAACTAGTTGTCCTCATTTTACAATTTTAAGAAAGAAAGCCCTTTGGAGAATGGGAAGAACCAAACCGAAGTGAAGAAAATATAAATCCTATTTCTTTTTCTAGAGGATATTCCAAAAACAAAGGAAAAACTAATTCCTCTAGAAGTGAAGAGAACTTGGTAGGATAGAGTAAAGGAAAATAAATGGATTTGAAAAGGGACTTACGCAAATGTTTTTTTCTCAAAGACTGATGTACAGAGTTGAATACTGCATAAGGAAAGGTAAAGCGATAAATGTCAATTTTCCAAAATACTTACTTAAAAATGCCGTTCTCTATGTTGTAAAGAGATTCAGAAGTGCGTCAAACAATCCTCCCAAAGGAAAAGCATAATCGATAAGGATTGAATAGTAGCCATCACACCAAGGACACCTTAGTGTTCTCCCATCACCTCGTAGTGATAGGGTTCCTTGGTGTATCTTAGATTTAGATTTCCACAATTGGCTTCGACTCTGGGTAAGTTTTGGATGACCGGCCAGTATTCGCCTCCCTTAACGCACTTACTGAAAAGAACATCGCTTAGAGAATGCAATGCAAGTTTGAAATCATCAGGATGCTGTCGGTCTTGCAGCAGCCTCAGCAGTCCCTCCGCTAGAAAATCCATCCCCCGTGGATCTATAGTTAGCGTCTTCAACGAATCCAGTTTCTCCACATGTTTCAATTGAGGGTATTTCCCGTTGATGCTCAACTCTCTTAGTGCAGGAAGATGAGAGATCCTTTCCAGACCTTGACATTGGGAGATGCGTAACTCCTTCAAGGGAGATCCCTTCAGGCACCCAGGGAGTGATTTCAATCTCGGGCAGCCCTTAACGCTCAGCACCAGTAGATTTGGGAACACGGTAATCTCCTCATCTCTACAAAATGACCACTCTTGCAAATTTGGCATTACACGGAGATCAATAGACACAAGCTTTGGAAAGAGCGCCTGTGTAGAGCCGCTCCCATAAGCCTCCGAGCCAAAGGATACAACCGCTTTGGCATTCCCAATAGTAAGATCTCTCAATTCAGGCAACAGACCGAGAGGAGGAAGCTGCACGACGTTCCTGCATCTTCTAAGGGACAAACTTGTGAGATGGGGAAGAAGAGATCCCAGCGATGGTGACATCATCCAACTTGGAAACTGAAGACCAAAGTAATCGTTGATTCTTATTTTTTCCAGGCATGGCGGTGGGGCCAGCTCCTCAAACACATCCTGAATTCTGCTGATCTCTCCTTCGCTGTACTCTGGTGGATCTTCCCACGGGTTTTTAGGGCAGAACAATCTTAATTTCTTGAGATGAAGTTTATTCCGAAGCACGTGTCGTCCCGTCTGTGGTACCACCGCCTCCTTTAAGTTACGTATTTCCAGCACCCTCAGCTGTCCCAAAGGGCTCAAATCTTCCAAGCTGCAGCCTTGCTCCCCTCCCACAACAAAGCCGTTGAAGTGATTTAACCGCTCTAATGTTCCCATCCCAGATGGTACAAAGGACAGGTTAATAGCCCCCAACGCTTCAATAATTCTTAAATTGCACAGTTGAGTAATGCCTTTGGGAAGACTGCGGAGTGAGTCACAATACCCGAGATTTAGAACCTGGAGATTTGTAAGGTTCCTGATTGACTCCGGCAAGCTGTATATTCTTGTGGCGCTAAGATCCAACAGCCTCAGGTGTATTAGATTTTCCACAGCATCTGGAATATTCTCAATCCATGAATCCGCCAGTGACAGGACCCGGAGAAGTGGAAATCCAACAAACACGGAGCTCCCAAGACTATAAGAGCATCTTCTTATTAACAAGGTTCTCAAGCTCCTCTGCGAAAGTAAAGGTTGACGGGTGAGTGCTGGTCCTCCTCCTTCGCCGGTAAGTGTCAGACGTCGAAGTTTCGTCGTGGCTGACACTGTAGTTAATTCATGTGCTTCTCCACAAAAACTTTCATCCCGCGACAGAAACTGAGCAAGTGATCGCAAGAGATCGTGCATTTTATAATAACCCCCTTCTTTATAATAACCCCCTTCTTCATAATAGATAAGATGCCTTCTAACTAGCTCTTCCAAACACTCCTCCGCTGGTTCTAAGAAAGAATCCTCTTGCGTTTCTGCAATTCCTTCAGCTGCCCAGTACCTCACGAGCTCAGCACGAGCAAATACATAATCCTCAGGTAATAAAGAGCAATAAAGAAAACATTGCTTCAGGTTAGATGGTAGATCTTCATAACTCAAGTACAAGGCCCCCCTCAAATCTTCAGGTAGCTTGCCCATAGACCATGCATCCTTTCTCAGAACTTTTTCCCATTCACCCGGATTTCTCCCTTTTGTTGCCAAAACACCGGCAATGCTCTTAATTGCAAGAGGAAGACCATCGCATTTTCCAACAATTTGAGCCCCTACACCTCTCAGACTCTGCATTTCCTCCTCCTCTCCGGTGACATATAAACTCTTGCAGAGCAGTTCCCAGCCAGATTCTGGCAGCAATTGTTCCACGGGATGGATGTGCACCGCCCCCATCTGCCTAGCAACATTCGCATCTCTAGTTGTGACTAGGACTCGGCTGCCAACAGCTCCGCTCTGTAGTGGACTACGTAGTAAGTCACCCCAGACATCTGCTCGCCACACATCATCTAGCACCAAAATGAAAGTCTTTCCTGAAACTGCGTCCTTCAGTAGAGGTTCGAGGCCTGCTTTAGTTTGCAAATTACAGGGATCTCCTCCTGCTTCTTTTATTATCTCCTTGAGCAAAGAGGTCTCTGAGAAATTTTGTGATATGCAGACCCATATCTTTGTTGGGAACTCAGACTTTACCCTTGGGTGATTGAAGATATTTTTAGCCAGGGTAGTCTTTCCTATTCCGCCCATTCCGTCAATAGCAAAGACTTGGAGTTTTCTTTCATCTTCCTTAACTATACTCTCTACCAGTTCGTCTGTAGCACGTTCAATGCCCCTCCCCACGATATCAGACCTATCTATGATAGGTGAGGTCTGCCGAGTGTCCACCGTTGTGACTCGAGGATCTGGTTCACTTATCATTAGGTTAAGGCGTGACATATCTCTAGATATCTCCTCCAATCTCTCATTTAATTTCTTAATCGTATCACCAATCTCATGCCGGAAACGGATGCTAGTAAAGCAAGAGAATAAGCGAGGACGGCTACAACATACCGTTGATGATGGATCAGATGATGTAGACGGTTGGCCATCAAGCAATTTTCCACCCTCGTGCCTGCATCGGTCGATTATGTCATCGGCATCGTACATAACATCTTTGAGCTCCCTCACCCACCCTGCAACTGATTCTGATTGGATGCGCTTTCTCTCAGCATCATGAAGCACATGCTTGATCCTCTCCATCCTTCGCTGTAGCCTCTTGATCTCGTCTTTCACGCCCAGGACAGTTACCACCTTCTCCTCAACAACCTCAGCCAGCTTACTGACCGTGGTTGCAGCTAAAGCATCCAGCACCATGGCCATCTCCTCAAGAAAGAAGCAAGTATTGCGAGTATTGGAGATTTCAGAGGGTTCACAACCAGATTTCTGGTTTGCTTTGTTTAATGAGGATTGGGTACTTAGAAATGAATGCACTCCATTATGTAGGTTTTTCTACTTTTCTATTCTCCCTCTCTCAATTATTGAGGTACAAGTGGGAGGAACATTAAGGTATAAGTCTACGGGACCACAATGGCGGAATAAAGCAAAAAGTGATCCGAACAATTGTTTAAATTCTGCAAGTGAAGTCAATGGAAAGTGCTGATAACCTTCTTGACGCGTTCTTGGTACCGTCCTGTGGTTGAAATGCTACCACATGAAATTCTGTATACCATAAGAAACTAGCCCCCGCAATAAATCCCCATCGTGAATGTGGACAAGTCATAGAAAAAATTAGTCGGCCATTCATTCATCAAACTTGGACACCAAGTCTCCAATTATTTTCGCTCAAAAGATGGTTAAATTTCACATAACCCCCCATCTTTGGCCCCTTTAGAGATGAGCCCTAAAGTTTAATAATATCACCCAAATTTTTCAGCAATCAGATCTGATCGACGGTGGTCCACGGATAAACCCCGGCACAGGCAAAGATCCCACGCAAAGCAGCGGGTGATAAACATCTCCCTGCGTTTGTTTTGATAAAGTTGTAAACTTGTTTTATTTTCATTGTGTAAGGAGATCTTATAAAAAGATCAACTTTTTATTTTATTCGAGTTTATTGTAATGACTAAAGTTGTAATAGATTCGATAGCAATGAAAACAACAATTTTCGACGCAAACAGTCCCCACCCAATTTGGCCCAATTTGGCCTTGCTGACCCTTGATTATTAAACGCCTAAATGGGACAAACGTCGGCATGTTTATCTAGAACTCATTACCCAATCTCTAATTTTCCATCAATTATTTCCCATAAAATTTGAAATCTACTTTGCTCTCTGCTTCTGTAATCGCAACTCACTAGACTCCTCAGTTGCAAGTTGTGACTTCTGATTGGCGAATTGTAGAGCATGTTTGGGAACTAGTCAAGTGGCTTATAAGTTGCTGAGACATGTTTGATAACTAGCTTATTCTGGCTTATAAGTCTGAAAAATAAGCTGCCATAACCCAGCTTATTTTTTTAGTGGCTTATAAGCCACATAGTTTGACCAAGAAAATGACTACTTTAGCCCTAAATATTTAAGATACTTTCAAAGTGTATTTCGCTATCTCGAACTGTTGGATCGAGGTTTTTTTAGTGGCTTATAAGCCACATAGTTTGACCAAGAAAATGACTACTTTAGCCCTAAATATTTAAGATACTTTCAAAGTGTATTCCGCTATCTCCAACTGTTGGTTCGAGGAATAGGGGGGGGGGGGGGGTGAATAGGCTATGACTAATTTATAAATTTTTTAATTTAGCCAAACAACCATGCAGATATATCAAATCACAAATGCATGTAGTTATAATTTGTAAATAGTAATGTAGAATGTAAAGCACACACAGATGTACCTAGGTTTGGCCTCCACGCCTACATCCTACAACCAAAATCACTAGCAAAATAGTTTGACAACTCCTTACAACCAGTAAGATTGGCTACCCACCGCAATCGTCCTCCCCAACACGATTCGTTGGTTACCGCCACTATGTAAACTAAATCTACTAACAATTCCCACGAACTACAACCCCGTAGTCCGCAACCCAACCTAAAAAAATCTAGAGTCCAAAATAAGTGTAAAAGACAATACAGATCGGCAACGAATAAAAATAAAGGAACAAAGTTTAGAGAAGCTCAATGTTGTCTTTGTCGAACAAAGTTTAGAGAAGCTCAATGTTGTCTTTGTTGCGTCGGTCTGGAATTTTCTGAAGTAGAACTCACTATAAAACTAGTATTACGTGTCCAGTTCTGAGTCTACTTCGTACAGTTTCTGACGGATTACAAAACGGAGATTTCTATAAATTTCTATGAATGTGCAAGGAGGAGGATCTGCGTATTCTGTTGTGTTCGTCACTTAGATCTGTAAGTTTTTGAACTAGCACTCACTATAAAACTAGTATTGACGTGTCCAGCTCTGAGTCTACTTCGTACGGCTTCTGACGGATTACAAAACAGAGATTTCTGTGAATTTCTATGAATTTTTGAATGAAGCCTGCGCAAGGAGGAGTATCTGCGAATTCTGCTGTATTCTGCTCTCTTTTTTCGTTAATCGCACACATTGCCATCATTAACAGCCTTTAAGTAGGCTTTGCTAACCCTAATCTACTTAGGGTTATGACATGTGGCACAATCTGGGGCCATAGAAAAGTTAAAACACCCATAAAACACTCTGTACACATACAGGTATAGGACTCTGTATTTGTACCGCTTTTTCTGCACTCTATGTGCCACGTGGCACGCAATTATTGGCTGAAATATCCTCCCGCGGTCCCCTGCCTGTTTTTCTCTCTCCCTTCAACGGCCCACCCATGTGAGGTGGGGGTCCGCTTGCAGCTGAAATCACGCGCATTTGATGCGCGCCGCTAGATCGATGCAGGCTGAACTGATCGGAGACACGTGGTCTGTAGCGGTGAGATATGCATAGTAAATCTTAGCTGGGCCTGTTTGTGTGGGTTTTTTTCCTGCAGACTTTGAACTAGGCCTTGCATAAATCTTGTAAAACAAATTTTCTTAGGCTTTGGAAATAGTATATATATATATATATATATATATATATATATATATATATATATATATATAAA